TACGGGACACGGAGGGGGGATCTGTGTTATGTGAAGTGTCTCTGAGCGGCGCAATCATTGCAGGATATATCCTTCCACTAATCTACATCTGGCTCAGTGGAAGATGGCCGCCGCCTGCACCGATGTCACTGTGAGGTCTCGGGTCATGTGTCATTACTGCCCCCTCCAAAGGACAATCCACTCTCTTGTGCACACTGGTCATACAAAATGGCGGCCTGCACTGAGAGTGTCACGGTCATGGTGCACAGACAGGCCGGTAAGATGCCCTCCTGGACTCCCTGCCATGTCTGAGGCCGGAGTTCTGACCCCATTCCTTTATCGGCCCCCCGCCTTGAACTAGTGCCAGGCCGTACACTACATTGGCTGACACAAGATGGCGACCTGCACAGCCCGAAGCCCCGCCCCCATAGCATCTGGCCATACTGATAGACGTGACCGAGGGGAGGGGCACGGGACCGCCGAGCGCTGATTGGCTCTCCGGATGACGTCACTGCGCTCCGCGTTTGGGAACGAGCTGGACCAGAACTCCCAGCAATCATTGCTGGAAAGGAAGGAGCACGGTGTGGTGACGTCACCGGCGGCCAGCCAATCAGCCTCCAGCTTACCCCACAAAGTTGTGTCTTCCCTCTGGGCGCTGCTGGGTGAGGTATGTGCTGTGTTGTCAGTGCAGTCTGTGTGTCGTGACGTCACGTGGAGATCACTGATACATTGTAACCATGTATGAGCCACAGAGGGGAAGCCTGACTCTCCCAGTGACCTCTGACCTCTCAGTGCTGGGCGTCTCCATGGCAGTGTGATGTCACACCTCCAGCCAGGTCATACATGATGATGTACGCCCTGCGTTCCGCCGCCTATTCGTCGTGACCTCACACCGCCGGAGATACGCAGAGCCGGTTGATGCCCTGCAATGCTGCCCAGTGACATCACAGCGGATAATCCGGGATCCGTCTTCCAGTTGTGAAGCTGCTTACGAGGAAGATGGAAGTGGGAACCTCATACTACTGTCACCCCATGACCCCGGCCTTTGTCCCGCACTGTGAGGTCATGGCGGATAACCCGCCGCGTGTAATGCTGCGTTCGTGGCGGGAATTCTTGTATTTTCCCCAATGAGCGGCTTCACAACTGGAAGACGGATCCCAGATTATCCGCTGTGATGTCACTCATGCCTTCGCCATTGTCCCTCCCCCATGAAGCACGGCCATTGGTTCTTCCCTCTGTGACGTGTTCATTCTGTCATATGTGTCCCCATTGTAAGATTTCCTGTTCTGGTGACACGGTACAGTGTGTGAGTGTTGTCACCGGAGGACAGGAAGTGTGTTACTGGCAGGATCACCGGGAGAAGAAGATGAAGGAAGAGAAGGCTGAAAAAAGGAAACTAATGCAGCCGCCACATCTAAGAATTGAGGTAAGTGGTGCTTCAGACTTAGGGTGGACACTCCCTCAGGTAACTTCCCGTTCTTGTGCTCCCCCCGCAGGCCAGAGAGATGCCACGGTGCATTGTACAAGGATGCCCGCATTACTCCGGGAGGAAGAACAGCACCCCGGGGGTCACCTTCCACATGTTCCCCAAGAACCTGGCCACCATCAAAAAGTGGCTGCTGCAGATCAATCAGAACTTCGGCGACGTCGACGCCTTTGCGCGGGGGGTGCTGGAGGGGAAGGCCGGCGTGATCCGCATCTGCTCAGCGCACTTCGCCATGGGGTGCTACCACTTTGTGGGCTCCCAGAAGATACTGTTGGAGGATGCCGTGCCGACCATGTCTTTGGGTGAGCCGGCTGTTAAGGTAGAGAGCGCCCCCTGTGCGAGGATATTCCCGGAGAAGCAGAAGGTGGAGGACGCCTTCCATCCGACGGTTTTCCCGGAGAAGCAGAAGGTGGAGGACGCCTTCCATCCGACGGTTTTCACGGAGAAGCAGAAGATGGAGGACGCCTTCCATCCGA